TCCTTTCTTTCAGTTCTTTCCTTCTTTCCTTTTTCCTTTTTCTTTTTTTCACTACCAGTCAGTTACTAATATCTTAAGTCGGTTATTATTATAAATATTAAGTTATCCTTATAATGATTCAAGTCATATTAATATCATTTCTACTGATTATATTATCATTATTATTATTATTGTTATTATTTCTTGATTTTCACAGTGACAGTAAACTGATTGACTCCACTTGAAACTGCCAGTAATCAATTTTCCGCGATCAGAATTTAAAATACTGAAATTTATCATACAATAATCCATAAACAGAATATTACATGGGCGCTTGGAGATACGAAATTTATCTTCTCGTGTTGAAAATCTCTCACGCGTTCGCTGCGCTTACTCGTGAGAGATCTTTTCAACACTCGAAGATAAATTTCCTATTTCTGCGCGCCCATGTAATATCCTCTATTCATACCAATCACTGCGACTCAGTAATGACCTAGAATTAAAAGGGCGTTTCCCAGCCTGCGCTTACAAAAAGGGATCTCACCGCTTTATTTTTTTCAAAAAGGCCAGCATCCGGTTTCCTTGACCTTCAGTCAAAAACTGACGACTCTAAGAACGGCTGCAAAGGAGGCTAGTCAAAAACCGGAGGTCTATTTTTTGGAAGATTTTGAGGTAGACTACGCGTTAAAACACATTCCATCAGTAGAACTCAAAAGGGTCATGGCATGGTCGCGTGATATGAGCCGGACAAACTTGATGCTGGGCCATGATGAGCGACTTGGCGATATTCCAAACAGGGAGCATCCTCGGGCCAGGGGTATGTTCTGCCTCTCATTTCTCGCTTCCAGAAAAAAAATACTGGTATTTGTCTGGAAGCGAGAAACGAGCGACAGCTAGAACTTCACCCCTGGGTTCCCGAGGATGAACAGGAAGTAGATAGTATTATACCGCTGTGTACTCAAGGCGAACTGAAGTAGTTTAACTTGAATGCAATTTGAATACGCACGTCACGTGCTATATAATCCTCCTCTTAATTTTGATTAGAGTTGACTCTGGCTAATATTTTAACTGCATGAGACTGTCAGAGGTTTTGGTCAGATATCAGACCTTCTCCAATGTAACCTTATGCAACTTTCACGTCAGTAGTCTTCTTATCTTCTCCTTCTTGTTCTTCTTGTTATTGGTGTTGTTGTTGTTGTTGTTGTTGTTGTTGTTGT